ATTAAGCACTTAATAACTCACCAACAAGCACCGCAGACGCCCACCAGTCATATGCAGCGCACTTTAAGCGCTCACTTCTACTGCATCCACTTTTTATCTAAATATTTATTGTTTAAATTTCAGCAAAGCATATCCTCCCGCTCTCTTAAATAACTATTAAAATCACGTCCGTTGCAATGCACCGATTTATTTCGCACATTTTTTGATTTTCTTCAACCTTTTTTCACTACTTAATTCCAGCGCTCTCTTTTTGATTTACCTTTCTTTGAAATTCTAGTATTTAACTTTTTTTGTGTTCTTCTTTTTTTCTTTCTCCTTTATTCTCTATCATTTATGTTGTGTGCACATCACGATTTGCATTTTGCACCATTTTGCATTTCTGAATTTCTGCACTTCTGCATCTGAACCTGCATTTGCATCTGCATCAGCATTGCGCATTCGCGACGCGGCGTCATGGTGCGGCGCTCAAATGGCGCTCACCGCACAGTTGTGTGTTTTGTCAACATCCAACGCCCGTGCGTCTCATCCGCGCGCCGACAGCCGTCGACAGTCAGCAATCAGCCATTAATTCCTCAAGCATAAGTACCTATGTATGTATATATATATAAATATGTAGCCTATATATAGGTATATACATATTTACATATATGTGTTTGTTGGGTCTGCTTGCTGCTCTCGGTTGCCTGCGTGCGCTGGACGTTTGGGTGTACGAGCAAGACAGAATCCTCATTATGGGGCATTGTGCTGTGTGACATGCGGTCGTCCTTGGCTAAACAATGTTTATGGGTAATGGTTAAGTGGTTTGCGGTCAAATGATTTATACCGGAGTTAACATCGGACAAATGTACATATATAATATCGGTAATACGATAAACGAGTACTCGCCGCAATAACGGTTCTAGTTAGCGGTGAAAGTTTCAAACAAATAGTGTATAAGTACAGGGTGTCATTGAGATATTAAATATCCATGGCAAAAGGCCAATGCCGTAATGATTGCTAATATTGTATGTGCAAGTAAAATATAATTGAGGTTATTCCCAAAGTATTGTCTTTGACAAGATGATTTTAATTTCAATCTTATGCATGTCGTCTTATATATACTCTGTATACTCTGTATACATGATTTTGTATTATAGGATTAGATTTAAAAAGCTACAATACTTTTATATTTATATATAAAATAGTCAGATTACTTAATTGATATGGCTCAGATAACAATGAAATGCTGTATATAGAATTTTTCTTCATAAAATCTAGTTAATTGTTTAATTCTTATAATCCATTCCAAACAATATAGTGATTGTCACTTTCTATTTTCTTATGTAAAAATCGAGAGCGGTCCAGGGTTAGGTTAGGTTAGGTTAGATCAGGAAATCGATCCTAAGAAGGACTTGGACAGCTTAAATGTCGGTCCGTTGTGGTACCTAAAATCTCCTATAAAGCTGGATCAAAAGACCCTTACATGTCGACAAAATGCTTTGAGCCTATAACAAATTTGTTGAGATGGCTTAGATCCGTTTCGGCTAAGTCTTCTTATCCGCCGAATGTATGTTAAACCGAGATATTTCTGTATCAGCCTTGTGATCCAGGTCACTCATATATGTATTAGTTTGCCTTTTACATTTCGGGATTTGACATCCCTAGTGTTGCGATCGGGCAATGCACAACTTTATCGTAAGGCTTAACATTTTTGATGTTATACATATTCAGAACATTTTGACATACGAGCGCTATTCGTGTTGTTTACAGTAACACAAAATATTCATCTCAGCCAAAAAATTTAATTAAATCGCGAACTTATTCGCGCGATTTTTTTTACAACGTGTTGTCTCAGCAACAGTTCATCGATGACTTAATTAATTTTTGGCGATGGAGCTTCATTAAGGTCCGGGGTTCATCGATGGTATGGTGAACTCAATCGAGGCCTTAGAGCATTCCAAAACGAATTTTGTGAAGATCGTCCAAAAGCAGATTTTCCGGAAACTATTGATGCTGTGCCCAAACTGATATCGCAAGATGTTAATGTGACCTATCGTGAAATTGAGACAAATATAAGCATTGTTGGGACTAGCACACATTCATAATTGCATCATCATTTGACTGTGAAAAAACCTCGAGTCGATTGGCCGAGAAAAATTAAAAAAAAATACGATGGCAGTTCTACGAAATACGTCTATGACGTCGTAACTGATGATAAGTCGTAGATTTACCCGTATGAGCCGGAAAGTAAACAACAGTCGACTGTATGTACATCCATTCAAGGAACTCGAAACTCAACGCCTCTTCACCACTTCATGCGAACTTTCCTACATCGACTGAAACAACTGTATTTCTGAGCATTCAAAACGTCGATTTGATGATATAGTTCTGACTTGGCACCGAATAATTTATATTCCGTATGTAAAAGAAGAGATCTACGTTTTTCGGTACATGAGGAGGCAGTTGATGGGTTCAGAACGCATGTTTTAGAGACACCTCAATCTTAATAGAAGATTTAAATCTTAATAGAGGATATTTTGAAAAACAATAAAGCGATTTTTGATTATCAACATTTGTTTTGTTCTCTAATCCCGAAGTATAAAAGGCAACTCCCGTATACATATCATATTTTTTATTTGCCAGCTCTGACGAACTGGATTCAATTACCAAATAATTAATAAGTGCCGTTTCCATATAAACATACAACTGTAGACCCAGTTGCCCAAGGTAGCATATGTTGGCTGTTCATTTCGACCACACTTAAAGTTGAATCAGCATTTAACCGTTACAAATGACAGGACAATTTCATACGTATCGTATTTCCTTTATCTACAATCGGCGCTTAAGTTGGTTAAATATTTTATTTAGGTTCAAATAAATTCAAACGATGCTCGTGTGTTCAGAAAATAATGGTAATTTTAAAATTTCTCGAGTTTTCAGAGTATACTTGTAAAGTTGGTGTACTATATTGATATAAATACATGCCCCTGAAGTACGATATGTTATGCTTATTCGTGAATTCTTCGCCAAAATCAATACTGTAACGATCCCGAACCTCCATACTCGACAAACATGGCTTCGTGTGACTTTTTCCTATTCCTGAAAATAAATAGAACCTTAACAAGCCATTGTTTTACAAGATAGATGAAAATCGATGAAAAAACTAAAGGCTATCCGACAAATGGGGTTTAAGATATGTTCGACTATTGGCATAAGTGTATAACATCGACTTCTTATTCATGAAAATAGAAATAAAATTATTTAATTAATGAATTGAGGATAGATATCTCTACGACTTCAGTATTGACGGTTGTGTGGGGAAATTGCAATAGAAGCGATCCTTGGTCAGATTGAATTCCCAATCTTGTTACGTAGGCCCGACAGCTTCCGGGAAATGTGCACGAATGTCGTTTCTCTTAGACAAGCTTTTTTTTTAATTTTTGAGGATAGTAATCGGTTTCAAGTTTCGCCACCCTGTATGCATATGCAGCTCTATAAGTACTCCCTTAATTAAAGAATGTTTAGCCACAAATTCTTAATTATTACGAAACATATGGTAAACTCTCCGATTTAGGTCAAACTAATGTAACAATACGCCGACACACACATATACCTATATTATCTTTGTATCCATACTTATGTGCATACTGTAATATTTGCATAAGTAAGTAAGAATAAATAGCTCCAGATCTATTAAGAATAGGAATGAATGACATAGCAGCAGAAGAGAGCTGGGTACATATATACTTGTAGTTGGAAGCAAGCTTTGCGCTTTGAATTTGAAAAACACACAAAATGAAACCCAACCACATTTCAAACAAAACTATTGTTAATTAATGCAAACCACGAAACCGCAACTCAAATCAAAATGGCCAAATTGTAAAAAATATCGCACAAACATACATACAAAAATGTGTGTGTATATATGTGTGTGCGTGAGGGAAGACCGCATTGGGCTCACACACGTTCACTACGAAGCAAAATTGAAAGTGCCACGCCCCCTAACCATCTAAATGTGTGGGCATTTGGCCAAACTGCTAGGAAATACATACATAGAAGTAAAACAAAGTAATAGAAACAAATAGAATTGTGCTTTGCATAAGCCTATTGATTTAGTGATCTGCCGCAGACTGTATAACTGTATATGTGTTTGCATCAATGACTATGGGAAATTTCAACTGATCCGACGACTAAACTAAGCGAAAGGATGAATATGAAGTATTATCGGAAGCTTTTACGATATCATTTGTAGTTTTATGAGAAATCATAGCTATACAGAGCTTGGATTACCTTGTATGTATGAGAACCAAATCCTTTTGGGAACAAATCATCTTCTTATGGAGTCTAATATTATGCCGCTGTGAGTAGCAGTGATTCTATTTATTCTAGCTCTCAAAAATATATAAATAAAGAAGCAGAAGGATTTTCAAAATTTTCCAGCTGGTGGGGATTTCCTTTTATGGGACTTATTACTTGAGATTTTTTTTTTCTGAATCGACCTTTAGCGAAACATGTGATTTCGTTCTAATCCTTAATATCACGTCCACAATTCACAAGCTGACGCTCAGTTGAAATTTTATAGTGACAACATTCCTTGCTTATTTCAACTTACGTAATTGATAGTACCAAGGTAGCATAATTTTTTCTCATATCACTAAGTACCAGCAGAGTATTCAAAGTTCACGGATTTGTTCTACTACTCCACCTTGGCCTAAGAAAATTTATAGTCGTTGATTTATAGGTACAGAAGATATATTATTTCTAAGTGGCCATTTGAATCCAATTCATGGCGGTCCCAAATGAATAAAACAAAGAAAATATAAGTTGAATTTCCCAAAGTGCATTGATGTCAATGAAAGGCTTCATTTTGTTTAATTCTGGTTTAATGGAATTTGCAAAAAAATGTTTTGAATATGGCTCTTAATGAAATACCTATTTATCTTGCTTAAACGTAACACTAAGTAAACAAAGCTACCGCGTTCAATTTCATGCGTTCCACTTATCACTTACGATACCAAAAGTTCCACCCAAGATTACACCATTCTCATTCGCACGCGATCTGAATGTCGGCGACCGCACGAGCATACAATGTGTCATTGGCACCGGTGACCTACCGCTCACATTCACCTGGCTTAAGGACGGACAGCCGCTGCAGCAAATGGCCGCATCCATCACAACCTCAGCAGCAACCGCCTCTGGGCATAATCGCCTACTTATGGGCGGCGTTGGTGTTGGTGTCGGTGTGAATTATGTATTGCGCGATGGTAGTAGTGCTGGTGGTAGCGTTAGCGGCGGCGGCGGTGTTAGCGGTGGGCATCATAGCGGTACCGGTGGCGTTGCTGCATCAGGTCCATCAGGTCATACAAATCACGACGATTCAGCCGCCTCAGCGGCTGCGGCAGCATCAATGTCAACGAATGCGGATGGTAGTAGCGGTGGTGTAGATGGTGGCGCTGGCCAAGTGACAATTCGCCAAAATGATGATTTCACCAGCGCCCTCAGCATCACAAGTGTGACGCGAGCACAGAGCGGCACCTATACGTGTCGCGTACAAAACGATGCCGCCACTGTATCGCACTCTGCACAGCTAAGAGTCAATGGTATTAATATTATGCGTGTTGTTGTTGTCAGCATTATAATTATTATTAACTTTATTGTTGTAGCTGTTCTGGCATGTTTGTTGGTTGCAATGTTAGCATTTATTTTTTTTCATTTTTATTTCGCTTGTTTCTAATAAGTTGACGCATGCTATCACGGTTGGCTATTGCTTACTGCTCGCATGAACAGCTTGAATTTCAACCAAAAATTTTCATGCCGCACTGCATGATTGCGTTTGTATGTCTATTTCAGCATGTTTACTTTACAAATTTATTGCAAATACATTTTTTGTGTTGTTGTTCGATTTCTTTTTGCAAATTTTTTGGCAAACTCTGCAGCCAAATGCATGTTATTGCACACAAAAGCACATGAAGGCACACATACAAACTCTTAGTTGTAAAAGTATTTAAATTTATTTATGTAACCTTTTATCAGCACAACCATATATCTTACTTGTTGTTGTTGGTTGTTAATGGTTTTATTGACGCACATCTAATTGATGCGAATATATGTTAAGTGTCAATATAAAATGGTTATGTTTCCCAACATATACACACAAAGGCGCACAAGAATTTTATTTGCCAACAGTTGTTGCACACATTATTTTTGGTGAATTCGTTTGGTTTCGTTGTTTTTGTTTTTAATTTCAGCTGTAGGCTAGCGTATATAACTATGCAATCGATTTTTTGGCACAAATAACCATATATTCAGAACGAACTTTGCGAACGAAAATAAATTAGTTGGCATAAGCGCAGAGCTCGTAAAAGTATGCTTTTATATTTGAAACTACGGCGGACATACATAGATCTACATATATCAATTAGCCGATAGACAAAAAGATTGCAATATTCTCAAATATTAACACATTGACTGCCATTTGTTCGGTATAGAAGTGTTGTACAGGCTTCCAAACAATTTATTTATACTCCGATACAGAAACTTATATAACTTTCTCTTAACTAATTTATGTTTTACTTTAATAGCTCGTTTATTTTATAAACAGTGTTAACTATGCTTAACACTACTCAACAAATCTGAAGGAAAAATTTGCGACTGATGGACTAGGAGGTCTGTGGCTGTATTTGAGGTGTTCTGATTACGAATTTGACTACAAAAATTTCCCATCACGTACGGCTCTTTGTTTTAGTCTTTGCAATAAGATTTTATATTACATCAATCGAATTTTATTCGGACAATATGTGACACATATTGAAATTTTGGATTTCGTCTCTTGTTTCGCACAGAAAGGAGTTAATTTTAATAGATGGTCAATGGGGACGCACCCGGAATTGCGTCTCTAACATCCAAAAGTTGGAAACTATATTATTTAATCTACCTAGTTCGTTTTCTAAAATTTGACAAACTGGTAAAACCTGAACTTTGATGAGTTTACCAATGACATTGTATTTAATCTGCCGGTTGATAAGGTATTTAATTTTTTCACAGACTTTTTCAAAGCCATTAGCCTTACCAAATTCTAAGCAATATTGAGCAGACTTAATTCATAGTTGGCACGTAGATTGCCTTTGATACTTCGGGATGTTGAATCTTGCAACTTACAACTTTATCACAAGGTTTGGCATTTTTCATGTTATCTTAGGTGTACTAAAAAGAAATCCATTAATTTAGCATGAAATTTAATGTAATGTAAAGTATCCAGCCTTATTCAAACGGTTCCAAGCGCTTTTTTGTGCAGTGTTTAGGTCCTGGACAATCGTAATCTCGGCGATTTGAAATATTTGATCGATTTTTTCGATAATTGATCTTCCAGAACGTGGTGCATCTTTTACATTGAAATAACCAGAACAGAATCGACTAAACCAAAATTGCGCATGATTGGCTGTTACAGTATCAGGACCATAAACGCCATTCACATTTTCAGCTAGCTTTTGCTAGTGTCCATCCAAAACCGAATCAACCCATCACAAAATTGTCAGAAACACTTTTTTAGTACGAAATGTCATCTTTCTAACGCCATTTAGCCGAACCCGATCGAACTTATACAACGCGAGATACAGATAAATAACGCCATCTATTGGAAAAATAATGGATTGTCTTTTTGCTAATATGTACATACTCAGAACGTTTTTACATACGAGCGCAATTTGTATTGTTTACAGTAGCTGAAATTATTCACCTACTATATATAATACATTGTAACTCCGAGTCGCTCTGAATATCAAGGCTACACAGTTTTTGAAAGTGATAACAAATTGCGATATATGAGAGAACAATATTGGACTATCAATACACAATAGAAAATTTTCCTTTACATATTTTGAAATAGGTATTATATGACTCCAGATATTTCAACCAAAACTTGAAGCATGAATCTGAACTATTTATGCGTTCTACTGGATCACTTTTAAAAGAAAACTTAAAATTCCAAGTCCAATTAGGGAAAGTGAAAATTCAGCTGATTCTGATTAGTCAAATCACAGTTCTCTGTTTTGGGTACTGCCGGGTTCCGCATATATAGTTTACCTGGCTTCCAGTATTAGGAAACCCTTAGCTCTAAACTCTGACTTTCCAAATGCTTCTTTCCCTAGGTGTGATTGTTATAAGTATGAGAGCTGAATTTGTTACACAGTTTTCAACTCCGTTTCCCATCATCCCAGGCCAAGCTACTTAAAGACTTTTTCTGCATTCAGTCGAATAACCTTAACTACCTTTGTTAGCAACTCAGGGGGGACCTAAGGCAACTTAAACATTTTTATTCAGGCTTTTGACTTTTCAAATATTTAATATTTTCTTCAATCCTTTTCACTTACTGCCCTCAATGGCATCAAAATATTTAACTTCATCACACTACTAACCCCATGTAAAGGGAATAAATTAATTTTTTGCAATTGTGTTTTGCAAACTATTTCTTCTCTCCCAAGTATCTTAGTAGACTTTAAGTAGTTTTTTCATATTATATAAGGTTGTCAAATATCTCCCTTCCGCTTTTTTGCTCTTCATTCAATGCTTTATAAAAAGTGTTACAGTGATCGGATTTAGTTAAAATATACGCCGTTTTGTTCGATGATCTGTTTCCATCTAGACGGCAACTTCATAATACCTTCCTCGTAGAAGCCCCCCTCCTTATTTGCGAAGAATTCGGACACCCACTTTTCACAAGCCTCTTTTGAGTTCAACTTCACACCACCAAGGGCATTCGCCATGGACAGGAACAGGTGGTAATCACTTGGCGCTACATCGGGGCTATATGGTGGATGCGATAAAACCTCCCATCCGAGCTCCCGTAGCTTCTGACGAGTCATCAACGAAGTGTGTTGTCTGGCGTTGTCCTGGTGGAACACTACACCCTTCCTGTTGGCCAATTCTGGACGCTTCTGGTCGATCGCCTGCTTCAAGCGGTCCAGTTGTTCGCAGTAGATGGTAGAATTACGCGTCTGGCCATATGGGAGCAGCTCATAGTGGATGATTCCCTTCCAATCCCACCAAACACACAGCAAAACCTTCCTGGCCGTCAATCCCGGCTTGGCCACTGTTTGGGACGATTCACCGGCCTTCGACCACGACCGTTTTCGCTTGATATTGTCGTATGTGATCCATTTTTCGTCGCGAGTCACCATCCGCTTCAAGAATGGGACGAGTTCGTTCCGTTTCAGCAGCATATCGCAGGCGTTGATTCGGTCCAGAAGGTTTTTTTGCGTCAAATTATGCGGCACCCAAACATCAAACTTTTTTTGTATCCAGCCTTCTGCAGATGGTTTAAAATGGTTTGGTGACTAACTCCGATCTCCTGGGCGATGTCACGAGATGCCATATGCCGGTCTAACTCAATGTATTCCATGATTTGATCGGTATTTGTCGTCACAGGTCTTCCGCCGGCTGGCTTATCCATGGTGTCGTTTTCACCGGCTCTGAATCGTCGAAACCATTCCTCCGCGGTTCGAAGTGATAGAGTACCATCCCCCAAAACACCATTAATCTCACGGAACGTATCTCTAGCGGATTTGCCTTTAACGAAAGAAAACTTTAAAATAGCGCGAATTTCGGCGTTAGTGAACTCCATGTTTACACGTCTATAACTGTTGAACGCAATATCCAAACTAATCATGCATAGCGTTGTTTTGTAGGTTATGGCAAGACCTTTCAAATTATGTATAGTGTTGCCAGATACGAGCTCTGTAGCGCTTCGTACATAGCCGCGAAATTCAAAAGACAAAAAATAGAGATTAAATAAAGGTATTTGACAACTTTATATTAGCTACTTTTATTAGCTGAGCAGTATATATTAAGTTTGCCATGAAGTTTTAAACACCCAAAATGAAACGTCGAAGACCCTATAAAATACATATATAAATGATCAGCGTCTCGAGCTGAGTCGATGTTTATGGTATACGCATACTAACACCTCAGTTTTTGAGATATCAATCTGAAAATTTTCACACGTTTTTTCTCCCCAAGGTGCCACATTGTCGGAACCGCCAATATCGGTGCACTATAGCATATATCTGCCATACAAACCTAAAGATCGTACTGCTTGTTCCTTCTGTTGCTTGTATGAAAAGCTTTTCCATTAGACGATTTGGCATGAGCTTTTGTCTAAGGCAATGGTGCAATCTTCGAAGAAATGGTTCGGATCGGATCACAATGGCATACGAGTGTAGCTGTCATACAAACTGACTGATCAATATCAAGTTTTTTAAGGAATCTTTTGTGTTTATGTAGCGTATTGTAGCTTCTGTGCAATTAAACGTTTTTTTTTCTTGTTTTTCTTTAATTTCATTTCGAATCCTATCCATATTGGAGGTCAATGTGTTAAGCATAGAAACCGCAGCATATTCCTATATTTTTCCGCAATTTTAACCACAAATATATGTATATAAATTCAAGTATGTGTGTAGTAATGCCTCTTTGAACAAATCATTAAAATTAATTAGTTGTTTAATATCATCGGTAAAAGCCCGACGGCTCGCTGCATAAACATACATATTATATGTACAGGGAGGTAGATACCTACATATATGCCCTGCGCTTATACTGCAACACA